CTCGGTTTTGCACAGCTGGGATATGTATGCGTTACCGCTCTCGCCGACTTCCGATAAACCACGTCAGACTCGCTGAGGCACAGCTGAGTTTGGTTCGGGTCGGCTGACCTCGCTCACAATACACTGGCCCTCCGCCAAAGGATGACCGACGGCGCGCGAGCGCTTTTATATGTCGCCGAGAGTAAAGTAACTGTCACTTCGCCCGTGTTGTACCCACCAAGCTCGGCAGGTTCCTCTCTCCGTGCTGAGCGAGAAATTTTGCCCTTCTGGGCCAACCTAATCTCTTGGCGCTGCCGGGGCGAGTGCCCTACAAGCTACGACCGACAACAGACTCAATTCGACCCTGTGGGTGGACTTCCTGGAAGAGAGTACACATGTCTTGAGCTACAAAATTCTGCTCTGTTGTCTGCCATCTTTCGGGAGCTCTTTTTGGGCTTCCCCCCTTTTTTTCTTCAGTGCTTCCTTTACAAATACCAAGTAAATGAGTCGTTTCGGACCTCATCGACCCCTTCCTCTAAGTTCAGAGGTGGCTGAGCTCAGTGGCCACCAAGAAAATGGTATTCGTACGAATCGCCGAGTTGGTGCTGTAATCTTGACTCCTCATCTCACGGCTACATAGTCTCTCCAAGGTTTACATCACCGAACCCGGCGTGGAGCAAAATATGAGCTTCCCTATACCACAACTGCCCGGATCAGGATACGTGCCAGAGTGGTGAATGCTCGATCAGTTTTGCCTAGTATCTCTAGACTCGAATCAGGGAAGAAGATGCTCCTCACCGCACCACATCTAAGATCAACCGTTTGTCATGGCGTTCTCCCCTGGAAGATTTGCCGTGTCATCGGCAACTCGGATACTGATTACTTCTTTTGTCTTGAGCTCATCCCACCGAGTTGCACTCGCTCACCGAACTCGTCACCCATGCCCAAGATCCTCTTGGTAGATGGTGAGTCGGGGCTAAGCCATCTTGACTCGAATCCGTCAATCGGCCACCGCGGATGGCCGCTTCGCGATCGAGGCTACTTCTCACCGACCTCATTCAGGCACCGCCGAGATCTCCGCATATTTCGTAAGGTATCTACTGAGTTTCGCATGAGTTGCAACCCGATTTCACGGGCGCGGCTAAAACAACCCACCAATACTCTTTTCTGTGTCTCATCCCAAATCAGATTTCGACGAAGTTCGTGGACAATCTTTTCCCGTGAAAAAATAATGATCAAGCCAGTGCGGACTTTGTCGGTGCTCCTTGCCGCGTCCCAATTCCGAAACCACTGAGATTCTTCATTGCCAGGCTCCACACATCAGGTAAGTCGAGTTTGCTCAGCGCTTGGGAGCGTCATGCTGAGCTGCCTCAATGGAATACCTCTTCCAGCCTGTACACGCCGAGTAGCACAAAGTCGGCCGACATGTCGCCCGATTTCCGCGACACCGTGTAGTTTGTTCTGGGTGTCCAGCGAGCTCAGCCTTGACCAATAGCGTTCAACGTGATCAGGTCCTACTTTGCCTTCACCATCTCTCTCGTAGTCGCGGACCCAGCGCTCGCGAGTCCAGCCTACTTGACTGGGTTGACGTGACGTTCGTAAGCTACCTCCAGATGACCCGGCTTTCTCCTTGCGACTCGACATCTTAAACATCCCCAATATGCAGTCTCGGTGCAGTAGCTCATATTGACTCTGCTCAGCCTGCATTCGTCACTGAGCGGTCGCAAAGTAGTTGATGTACTAGCTTGTCATCCCTGGCTGCAACAGTAGTAATACCCAGCTGGTTTGCCTACCACTCTTTTCACCGCACATAGATAGTGCACATAGGACTTTCTATATCATTACATACGCTGAATTCACTTTCTCTTAACTTTCGCTGTTCAAGGAATAGAGCACCAACCCATATGCAAATATTGAAAGGAGCGTTTCCCCAAACTTTGGGTTATTTAAACATACCTACAAATCTTATAATAGCTCATCATGAAAATACCTAATATTATGGATGGAAAAGTCTTCTACTTAGAAAAGAAATACAAAGTATATACAACTTTTGAAAGAGTACCTCGGAAACTTATAGGAATACCGGTTCACCGGATGGATGTTCAATAAGGCTTTCGCAGATACCAACAATGAAAAAGGTTGGAAG